GGGCTGGCCTTGCTACTTTCTGTCCCGTGAGAAGATAGCTCTGCCCCACCCCCAACCCCTGCCCTTCAGGTCACTTTTCAGTGATGGTGTCCTTGTAGGCCTGTCATCTTCTTGTAAAAACCACTGAGAAGATGTATAGATTTTATACATTTTTATTATATTTTTATCTATTTGGTGTGCGTGCGTCGGGTGTATGTGTGTGTGTGTGTGTGTGTGTGTGTGTGTGTGTGTGTGAATGTGCACGCATGTGTGCACACCTGGGCAGAGCATGCCAGAGCACACAGGAAGAGGTTAAAGGACAGCTTTCTCCAGTCAGCCCCCGGGGAATCGAGTTTGGATCATCAGGGTTGGAAGCAAGGCTCGTGTTTACCGGCTGGGGCCGTCACAGCTCAGGCTCTACTCCACTAGTAATGTTCTTCCGAAGAAAAAGGTTGATTAGAACTCTGTGTCTGGATACATCCACCCAAGTCCACATCGATGTCTGCTTATGTAGTTGCTCATCCCTTAGCAGACAGCTGTGCCTGTCATCTGGCACGTGCCAGGCCCTGGGCGCTAGAGACTCGGGGAACGTGACCGAGCTCTGCCTGGAAAATGTCCTCAGTGTAGTTAGAGACATCGCTGAAACCAACAACTGCATCAGGGACCGGTGAGGGCTGTGGTACAGCTGGGCATGGGACCTTGTCGGAGGGGGGTGGGGTCACAGAAAGGCCACCGGAGGTAGCCCAGGAGGACAGTGGGAGGCACTCCGAGTCGACTTAGAGAGGAGTAGGTGGGCCATGGGGAGCTAGGGGAGGAACAAAGAGACTGAGGGAAAAGCTAGAAATAGAGGCAGGAACCAGATGGTGGGAGGAAGTGGAAATGCCAGGAGAGGGGAGGGTGGGACATGACGACAGGGAGGCTCTGAAGCCGCCTCGTGAGCCAGGTGTGGTGATGTGTGCCTGCGGCCCCAGCACTTGAAAGACCCAGGCAAGAAGATCGGAAGTTGGAAGTTTATGATCTGGCTGGGTGACACAGCAAGACCTTACATACACACACACACACACACACACACACACACACACACACATATCTGCGGCATGTCCCACCTTATCCTTGTGGAATCCAAAAAAATTAATACCAAAAAAAGCGAAATCGAATAATGGTAGCAAAGTCCGGGAAGGGAAGATGGGGGAGGTGGAGGATGATGGGTAAAATCACACAGGAGTCTGCTCTGATGTTCCGTGATACACACAGCAGGATGCATATGCTTCAGGACGTTGCACATCCAAAATCACTAGTAGAAATGCGTGTGAGTAGGCCTGGCATGGTGGGGCACACCCTTTATTTCCAGCACTGGGGAGGCAGAGGCAAGTGGACCTCTGTGAGTTCCTGTGAGCCCAGTCTACATACTGAGTTCCAGGATAGTCAGGACTGCATAGAGAGACCCTGTCTCAAATAAATTAAAAAATAAAAAAAGAGAGAGAGCCATATGATTGTGAGTGTTTCCATCAGAAAGAAAAGGATAGGTGTTAGAGCTAGTAGATCTTCAATTAACCTGTAATCTCCACCTATTATTTATAGATATGGACTATCATATCCCATAAATGTACATATTTAATTTAAAAAAAAAAAAGCCCACTTGTACCCATGGGTAAGAAATTGGTGTCTTAGGGTTTCAGTTGCTATGAAGAGACACCGTGACCAAAGCAACTTTTGTAAAGGAAAACATTGATCTGAGTGGCTTACAGTTCAGAGATTCAATCTATTGTCATCATGGTGGGAAACATGGTAGTGTGAGGGCAGACATGGTGATGGAGAAGGAGCTGAAAGTCCTACATCTTGATCCGTAGGCAACAGGAAGTGAAGTGTCACACTGAGCGTAGCTGGAACATAGGAGACATCAAAGCCCACCCCCACAGTGACACACTTCCTCCAACAAGACCACACCTACTCCAACAAGGCCACACCTCCTAATAGTGCCACTCCCTTTGGCAGGGGACATTTTCCTTCAAACCACCACAGTTGGTAGCAGGAAACCCAGGGAGAGCTCTGAGTCATATACAGGGTCTGATGGAAACCCAGGCCTGGACAGAGTGGTAGAAATCAAGGAGAGAAGGACTGATGTGCAACCGAGAGGAGAGGTCTGCAGGACAGGACACCTTCTTGGACCTGTGGAGTAAGGGGGTCAGAACTGGGAAGTCTGGGTTCTACGCTGGGTGAGAAGTAGGGCCAATCCCTGTGGCAGAGGATTCTGGAGGACAGATTTTGGGGGGGGGGTGAGAGAGGGTGACGCAGGTCATCAGTTTGGAACGTTACCAAGGGTGCCGTCCCGTGAAGAATCCAAATGGATGTAGCTGTTAGCTGCTTCAAGATTGAAACACAACAGACATGTGTTGGCCACAAAGACAACCTGCAGCCTCAGGATACATGGATATTAATGCCATGTAATCATTCAGCAAACATCAAGGGTACACTGTCAGGACCATCTTGACGGGCATGTAAACTGGGTGTCTTTGTTAGGGCTACATTGCTGTGAAGGGACACCGTGACCACGGCAACTCTCATAAAGGAAAACATTTAATTTGCGGTGGCTTACAGTTTCAGGAGTTCAGTGAGTTAGAACCTCACTGTCAGAAGGACCCCACATTTGTTTTAAGGCCCTCATCTTGCCATCTTGAAGTGTTCAATTGTGTGTGTGTGCGCGCGCGCGTGTGTGCGCGTGTGTACATGTGTGCATGCATGCATGTTTGTGTGTATATATGCACGTGTGTTCATGTAGAGACCAGAAGTCAATGCCTGGTGCCAACCTCAACTGCCTTCCATCTTTTCTGTTCCTTTATTTTTATCTCATGTATAGGGGTGTTCTACCTGTACCTATGTCTGTATAGCACACGTTTGAAGTGCCTGAGAAGGCCGAAAAGAGGGAGACTGACCTCTGGAACTGGAGCTGCAGACCTTTGAGAACCTCCATGTGGGTGCTAGGACTCAAACCTGAGTCCCCTGGAAGAGCAGCCAGTGCTCTTAACCACTGAGCCATCTCTCCAGCCCCTCCATCTTAATTTTTGAGACAGGGTCTCTCACTGAACCTGGAACTCACCAGTCTGACTGACCAGTCAGGCGCCTAGGCTCTGCCTTGTCCCCACCTCCCCAGCTCCGAGATGACAGATTCACACTGCAGTGTGGGCTGCTTTACACAGATCCTGAGGACCAAACTCGGATCCTCCCACTTTCGTGGCAAGCGCTTTGCTAAAATCGAGCCATTTGCCCAGCCCCGAGTTTCCAGTTTTTAAACAAGGGGTCCTGTGATCCTATTTCCCGCTGGGCTCTGAAGTTATCAAACCAGCTCTGCCTACAGTTGCCTGATGTGGTGTGCCGTCCTGGAATTAGAACCTTAGTGACACCGGGCGGTGGTGGCGCACGCCTTTAATCCCAGCACT